AGAAAGTTCACAGGGAAGAAACGGGATTTCAGCCAACCTTTTGCAAATGGAGCCTCTAGTTGAGAGCTGGGCTGTATAGACATGGAGGATAAAGGCAGGACTGTCATAAATTGTGGTGGGGATTAGAATGGGTATTATTATTGTTGTTGTTGTTTTCTTTTTTGAGAGAGACAGAGAGTACCAACGTCAATATCAGGGGTTTGAAAAATAATGTGTGTAAAAAAAATAAAAAATAATAATAATGTGTGTAAACTTCCACTCCTACAGATTTTTAGTATGGAAAAAACCAGATGAGTGGCCAACTTTGTAAAAAAATATTCACCTTGGTATTATTTGCAATAGTAAGAAAGCAGAGGTGACCTCAGCATATGCTGATTGGACACAAACTGAAGAGTTCAGTTTATAGAACATAACAATTCTCAGCAGCTGTTGGAATGTGAGGGGAATGTGTGTTTGTTATCACGGTGTGACAGCTCCATTGTGTTCTTACGTGACAATAGGTGGCATGTTTGCAATCTCCATAGATAGATCGATAGATCTCCTTACCATGAATTCTCTATCTTCAGACTGCAAACACTCAATACCTATGCAGCATATATTGTAATCTTGTTATTTTCAAGAACAGAGGTAAAGATTTTTATAATCTTTCAAGTTAGAACCATTATTTGCAAGCAGCCCTGCCTTGCATCAAAATTTTATTACCCCTTCCCTCTTTGAATAAGTTTGCCACAATTTATACAGGAACACAGAAGGGCAGCTTTGTCTATTAAATCTTCACTGGCTATTCAGAAGCTGAGGCCCAAAGAAGCGGTTTCAATTATGTTCAAACACTTTTCCTAATTTTATCTTTCCAAGTGTATAGACTATTTAACATCAGCATTCATTGCCGTTGAGGACTTTGAAAATTTAGGGAAAGAACAGTTTTGATAATGTTGACTCACATATGTAATCCTAAACCTTGTACTCACATCCAAATTTTCAGTCAGTGTGGAAGAAGGTATCTTTCTGTTTCCACACTTGAGCAAATGCCTCCCTATGTGACTTACCTCCTGTTTGCTTCAAAGAAGAAAGAATATCCATGAAGAATCTAGCAAAAGCAAATGATGTTTCTGTACATAAATCACAATTTTAAAATACTTAATAGAAATCACTTAAGAATCAGTGGAGCTGAAAAAAATTTAAGTACATTATTTTGGTTTCCAGATTTACCCTTAACATGCAATTCTATGTGAGTTTCTAAGTCATCTAATTTTGTTGGACTTCAATTTCCACTGCAACTCTTCAAACCCAAGATGCCCAGGAAAAAAATTTTAAAAAGACTTAAAAAATTCAAATTTGTATTTCAGAGCATTAAGCATTCTAAAAATGAAATGGCTTTCATTCATTCACTACACAAATGTTTATTGAGAGCATATTTCATATGAGGAAAATTTCTAGGTGTGTGGGATGCTTCATAGAACAAAATAAAGACCCCTGTTTTTGCTTATGTGATGAGTAAAATTTAATAAAATCAAATAAACTTAAAGGGCTGACCAAAGAAAAAAATAAAGCAATGTGGGATATTCAGAGTTGAAGCTACAGGTATCTATTTCTTACCTTTATATTCTTACCTTTATATTCTTAGCTAGTTGTTCAAACCAAAACAAAATCTTCAATATTTTCTTGGGCTTTGAGTCTTTGGGATTTAAAAGAAAGAAGACAATGGAATGTTTATGAATGTGTGACATGACCATGGTAGTCATTCGGGTTTAAGAAGATCTATCTCAACAGATTTCCAACTAAAATAAATGAATAAATAAAAATACATCTTGTTTCAGCATATTATTTATGTGTGAATAAGTCTATTGTTTTAGCTAAATAACCTATCAATGCCTTGAAATTATTAATTATAACAGTTGCCTTGCCTCATGCATATAATTTCCTTTTAGAGTCAGGATCTGATATCTCAAACATTTTGTTTTCACACAGTTGTCAGACCTCTTAGCAGAACCGACTTCATTTAAAATCAGTCACCTGACTTGGCAGGGACGTACTGTCGCTCTCTAGGCGACGGAGGTCGACATTCTCTTCTGTGTGCTAAGTAATTGTCCACCTATTTCCAGTTTCTCTGATCACTCCTTCTTGTCTGAAATCTTCCTGGGTATTTAATAAAGCAGTTAATAAAGTATTTATAAGTAGACTTTATGCCTTCCACTATTACAATTTTATATTTATAAATACAAATATTTATTTATTGTATAAATAAAACAGGTAGAGGCAAGAGTTCAGTTAATTTGATATCCATGTTCCTCACCTGCAGAAAGACCCCACAGGGGGTCTGGTTACCCCTCAACATGGGTCACCCGGTCCTTGGCAGACCAGCCTCGCTGGCATCCAACAGAAAATGAACATGGGTTTTATTAGCAGGTTGTTCCTGGAGGGAACTCTGTCCCCAGGCCATTATTAAAATTAACAAGCTGGCAGCCGCACATTGTGCCACTTGCTTCTCTCCTTTGGAAATTTTGTGTCAGTTAATAGCAAGCTTTGGCACCAAAACAGCAGGCCAGAAATCAGAAGACATGGTTCTGAGACTCCATGTGCCTCCTGCTAGAATGAGGCAATAATTTGCTCTGAACATCAGCTACTCCATCTCCTGTGGAGCTAATTCTTTCCCTAAATACTTCATAAGACTTTGTGAGGGTCAGAATCCACATCAGGTAACGTGGTTGAATATGCTTTAGCACATTAACTGCCATGAGAGTTGTATTTAACTCACTCTGGTTTTGACCCCGTGAATCATGTATAAAATCTTACTTGTTGATGTTCTTATTGTTACAATTAATATTGGCAATTTAATTCTAAAAACACAGATTAAATGAATAGAAGTCAATAAATTTCATTTTTCTGTTTCTGTTTACCTTTAAATTACACTTGAAGCTTTTATTCAATTTTTGTAATAAAACACTGTGGCCCCAAGGAACGTTTCTGCTTTTTCTGTGTGGCAGTCATTAAAACCTGGGGGCAGTTTTCTTTTCATTTTTTCCCCATCATCAGGAGCAGCACATGCCATGTTGCAAGTTTACAACTTATAATATTAAAAACAATCTTAGGTTATTATAATTTATAATTTTCACTCCTAAGATCGTGTATTATTTTTAATAAAGAAGAAAATCTGGTGACTGCAAATTATCTTATACAAGAATTTGCTGGCTGGGCACGGTGGCTCAAGCCTGTAATTCTAGCACTCTGGGAGGCTGAGGTGGGAGAATTGCTTGAGTCCAGGAGTTCAAGACCAGCCTGGGCAAGGACAAGATCCCGTCTCTACAAAAAAGAATTAGCCAGGTGTGATGACACGTGCCTGTAGTCCCAGCTCCTCAGAAGGCTGAGGCAGGAGGATCACTCGAGCCCAGGAGTTTGAGGCTGCAGTGAGCTATGATGATGCCACTGAATTCTACCTCTGGCAACACAAAGAGACCCTATCGCAAAAAAAAAAAAAAAATTTTTTTCTGGTGGTTGACGTCTGTAATCCTAGCACTTTGGGAGGCCAAGGCAGGAGGATCACTTGAGGCCAGGAGTTCAAGCCCAGCCAGTGCAACAGAAACTCTACCAACTTTTTTTTTGTTTTTAAACTAGCCAGGTACAGTGGCACATGGCTGTAGTACCAGCAAACTTAAGAGGCTCAGGTGGGAAGACAGCTCGAGCCCAGGAGTTTGAGGCTATAGTGAGCTATGATGGGAAGATCCTGTCTCCAATTAAAAAAAAAAAAAAATTTCTGAGATGACTGGAGTGAGGACTGGAGAAAAATCCCTGGTCAAAACCAACCTAGTGATTAGCATGTTGAAGGGAATATTCTTTACCTAAGTTAGCATCAATGGAGGAAACCTTTTTCCTTCTATTTCTACATTGACATTAGAATCACTTAAGACTGAGTAACCTCAGCTTAGTCTTTGTCAACTGTATAACCACTCAAAAGTTTGTCCAACATTTTCTAAACCTCATATTTGACGGAGAAAATAAACAGCAAGTTAATCAGAAATTCTCTTTTGTTTGTCATATTTCATGCAGGACCTTACATAAAGGAAAAATTGAAAGTTAAAATAATGCATGATGGACGTGTCAGTGTGGTCTTTGTTTAGTTAGTATTCTATCAAAGTTGCACACCCATCAAAACACCAAGCCTAACCCCAACAAATTAAAAAAAAGAAATATTTGTCTGCCAGCATACCAATAAAGAGGTTGAAAGTAAGAAAATTAAACAACTTAACCCCAGGAGCTAAGTTAGCTAATGAACTATCTTGATTTATTCGTTGTGTATTTATCTATTATCACTTTATTAGGGCATAAATGGAAGTTGTGTAGGTTTGTGGCAATGTTACAGTTTTAATGACAGAGTTAATTTTCAGTCAATCAATCAATGTTTATTAATATCCAGGCACAAATTATCCTCCAATTGAATAAAGACATGGTAAGGATTTACAATGTAATTTCAGAGGTAAGAAAGTAAAGACATTCATAAAATGTGACTAAGACTACATAACTTAAGTTACGATCATGTCATCTTCACAGAAGTTTCCTAAATAAGACTGCTGCAGTATTAACATTAGAAGGTATTTTACTTGTATTTAATGCTTGACAGTATATCATCAAGGACATAGCAAATTTCCTCGCGATTTCCATTCAAAAGTTGGACAGCAATACAGATACAAAGGACGCATGCGTGCATGGAATACACAGAAGCATCTATTCAGGGCACTTCAAAGGGAAGCGTGGCCCCTGTTTGGGACGATTCCTAGACCTGCTGGACTGAGGATGCTGTCTGGCAAATGTCCGCCCGTGAATCCAGACAACCAAGTTGGCTAACGCAGAGATGATTGCTGCCATCGACTATGATACTTGAATAATGCCTGCAACAGGATGATTTTGCCTGTTGATAATTTTGAATTACTAATATGACACTGAGTGGTCTTCAGAGCCAAAGCTGTGGCACCGGTGCGGCACCACGGATGCGGGCGTCTGGTCCCCTAGCGTCTCGCGGATACGCTCCCCACACCGGCTGTCGGGGAGGAGGCGCACCTCGCCAGCACTTTGCTCAGAGCTGCGGCCACGTCTTTATTCCTCAAGCTGTAGATGAGCGGGTTGAGCAAGGGGGTGAGGATGGTGTAGAAGGCGGACACGACTTTGTCTTTCTCCGGTGTGTGGTAGGAGTGGGGCAGCACGTTGGTGTAGAAGGCCGCCCCGTAGAAGACGCTCACCGCCAGGGCGTGGGAGGAGCACGTGGCGAAGGCGCGGCGCCGGCCCCGCGCGGAGCGCACGCGGTGCACCGTGAGCAGGATGCGCGCGTACGAGACGCAGATGACGGACACCGGGATGAGCAGCATCAGCACGCAGCAAGCGTACATCAGGGTCTCGTAGAGCGACGTGTCTGCGCACGACAGCTTCAGCACGGCTGGGATCTCGCAGAAGAAGTGATTGATCTCTCGGGACCCACAGTAGGGGAAACTCATGGTGACGGGCGTCAGCATGAATCCGTCCAGGGACCCACCGACCCAGGAGCCCACCGCCATGAACAGGCAAATCCTGTGGTTCATGAGCACAGGGTACCGCAGCGGGCTGCACACAGCCACGTACCGGTCATAGGCCATGAGGCCCAGCAGGAAGAACTCCCCCCCCATCAGGGTCAGGTAGAGGAAGATCTGCAGCGCACAGCCCAGGAAGGAGATGGTCTTTTCCTTGGACAGGAGGTCTTGGAGCATCTTGGGGACAGTGACACAGATGTAGACAGTGTCCATGATGGACAGCTGACTAAGCAGGAAATACATGGGCGTGTGCAGGCGGGAGTCCACATGGATGAGCAGGATCATGACCACGTTGGCTGTCACAGCCACCACAAAAACGGAGGAGACAACTGCAAAGATGATCCCAGGGAACACAGGGTGGGTGATGAGGCCCAAGAGGACGAAGTCAGTGGAGTTCTGGAGAACAGCCTTCATGTCCATGCCTCATGGGCCTCCTGGAACTGGAAAGGCAGAAAACTGGTGAGCTAATTGATGACCTGGTATTTAGGAAGGGCCTACCAGGACACTATGTCAGAAGCAGTTAGGTTTAAAAGAAAGACCATCATAGTTCCATGCTCTGTGGGCTAGATATGAGATGTAAGTGTAATAATTCATACAGTGCCGCTTTTGTGATCTGCTTTATTCTTACTTTGAAACATCTTCTGTATACATTTTATAATCTTACCACTTTAGACCGAAAGTTCCCTGAGGTGGTAACTGTGCTGTAGTCCCATTTTACCTTGCAGTAAATATTCATGGTCGACTGAATGTAAATTGGTCTCTGACATTAAGATGATTACGTTGTTAAGATCACACACAGACACCCATCTGTGACTGGGAATTGAGACTGGGCATGGTGGCTCAGCACTTTGGGAGGCTGAGGTGGGAGGATCCCTTGAGGCCAGGAATTCAAGACCAACCTACCTCACACAGTGAGACCTCATCTCTACCAAAATTTTTTTTAAAAAATAGCTGGGTGTGGTGGCACATGCCTGTAGTCCCACTACAATGATAGGGAGGCCGAGGCAGGAGGACACTTGAGCCCCGGAGTTTGAGGTTACAGTGAGCTAGGATCACACCACTGCATTCCAGCCTGGATGACAGAGCCTGTCTCAGAAGAAAAAAAAATTGATAGAAAATAACTATGGAGTACATAAATCTAGATACCTTTAACTTTTTTGGCTGCTGTTATTACTGAACAGCTTCATGAAAGTTCAGAACTTCAAGGCTGTACTGCTTACTTCATCTGAGGGCCAGGGTCCACACCGGCTTGTGGTTAGATGCTGTGCTGCAAAAGCAGTTCGTCTTTTAGGTATGGATGGCTTTAAGCACTTGGGTCTGTCTGTTCTCAGGGGATAATCTGGGGCTCATAAATCTTGGATGGGGACCACCAGGAACTCTGCTTTACCAGCAGGGCTTTAGTTTCATCACCATGGTGATCTTTCTGGTGGACACCATGGATTCTGCTACAATTCTATGACTAAGTACTGCATTATACCATTCAGTGATGACCTAAGCCTCTCTTAAGTTGTTGTTCAGCCAAAACATTAACAAACTTTCTCTGATAGAGTGGCATTCTGAACTTGCTATCATGTTATGTTATCCTAGGAATCCATTGCTAGCTAGGTAGTTTTTCTCTTTACATTTATTTCTCTACCATGTTACTGATCCTTCGTGTTTACAAGCAAAAATAACTACAGATGGTAAAGAAATTTCTGAATTTAGAGGGGAAAAAAACGCAGCATGATTAAAACTCCCTTGAACTAAAGGGAATACATTCTTATGCTTTTTATTCTTGAGTATGTAAATGTACATGTGCCTCTTTGACATGTTCGGGGATATTGAGGGATAAAAGTTCACTTTTATTATCATAGTACAGTATTCCTTGCCCCATTTCAGTGACAATATTGCTACAGAGGCATATTTCTGTAAAATGTTTTGGCCATCAGTGCTGTAAATATACCCAGATCTTTCAGTTCCACAACAGTCAAATGTATGCTCTCTGAAGCATTAAGAAGGAATATTATGGAAGGAATATATAGCCCTTTATGTCGAAGGAAAAATAACAGGAGCAATGGAGAGAACTTTTCCTTCTCAGTGCTCATCAAAGATGGAGGTATATTATGAGTCATATTCCAGAGAAATGAGTAAAATTCCAAAGGGAAAAAGTAAAAAGCAATTTTTGTGTTGATCTGTGATGAAAGTTAAAGTTGTCACAACTTACCAGTTGAGGAGGAGAAAAAGCAAATACCTGAGCATCACATATTAACTTCTGACAAGCTTGATAAAACTTAGCTACATTTGCCTTCTTTAATATGTGGAAGGTTTTCTTGAGGTAGCCACAGCTCTGTGTTATAGGTCAAGAGACTGTATTTAAAGATATTATAAGTAAAATCCCATTTATAGGGCTTTTGCAATAACTGGTTGAAAATTAAAATATTAATGCAAGTAGACAATAACTTTATCTTGGTCAACCATCTATTTTTTTCACCTAGATGCATTATGGGTTTTATATATTAATTACTGTAGTATCAAATCAGTTTACAATAATCCCTTCAAAAATACACTTAGAAGGACTGAAACAGCCACGGTAACAAGTGAAAAACTACCTAAGAAAATAACCAGTTACTTGTCAATCAAAATGCAGACCAGAGCATTTTGTTTCATATAAATACACAGATTGTACCTCGCACAGTGTTGGAAAGAGGAAGTAAATCACTCTGTTGTCTCAAACCTTTTCGATTAAGAAATGAAAACTTTTCCAGCTCCTAGGTCTTGCCTTAGACTAGACCCTAAAGAGCAGAGCACAAAGCTAAACGAGAGACAGGATTACGTTAGCGTCTTCTTTATTTTCATATAAGCGGAGTCTCGGTGAGCCGCAGATCACACCCAGGGTGCTTGTGCGTGTGAGCACTGCGCATGCATGTGTGTGCGTGATCTTTTGTGAATCTGTGGCGTGTGCATACGTGAAAGTGTTTGTGGTGTGGTATGTGTGTATGGCGGGGGCACGTGTGAGTGTGTGTGTGTGCGCGGGTGTGTTTGGGGAACCGACCTTGCTAAGGAGTAGCACACTGCAAGGCTCACCACAAAAAAGCAATTTGTTCATTTCATTGAATCAAATATTTGGAACCAGATGTAACACATGTTCAAATGCATAATTAATATTGCTCTGTAGGCTATTGGGCATACAAGTAAGCAATGATGTTAATATCTGCATTATAAACAACATGTATTTTATGAGTTACTTCTTTTTTAATCAGTTCCCAGCATCTAATTTTAACATTAGAGTTGAGACTGTTGCTTAACGTAATTCGTGGTTTGGTTCGTTCGCACATACGAGATCACGGATTCCCTTCCCCTCAGTGGAGGTAACCTTTCCTCCACTACCATCATCCTCCACTGCTTGAGGCCCTCATTTTTCTCGTATTTTCCTCACCAAGTAGTCTTCAAAAAAAAAAAAAAACCCTTCTATCTGCATAATCTCCCTTTCTGGCCTTTCTGCCATTCAAGGCAGAGAATGCCCAGTCCCCAGAATTTGTTTGAATATAACCTAGAATATCCTGAACCTTAGGCCTGGCCATACCCTCACTCAGAACACTCCGATGCCCGGGACCACTTATGACATCACCCCCTGCTACCACGTACTTGCCTGGCAGGGCAGAGCATGGCAGGGCAGGGGCATGGAGCCAGAGTGGGGAGGACACCTGGACAGGGGATCCGCATCTCTGATGTCTGCACATTTGGGGTTGCAGGGCGAAGGGATGGGTGGGTTTGGGAAAAGGCATTTATCCTACCTGTGTTCTGCCACATGGAGAGAAGAGGTGAAAGGAACAGGGAGGGTCTCTGCAGGGTGCAAGCAGTAGAAGCTGTATGTTTCAGGACAGCAGACCTGGAGTTGTTCTGGGAGAAGCCCCAGAAATCCAGGCCCACTTAGTGACCCTCACAGCAGATTGTATGATGAGACCCCCAAGAGAGACCAGATGATATTCTGCCAGGGGAGAAGAGCTTAGACCAGTCCATTCTGACACCCTTCCCAGGAATCCAGCTTGACTAGAGCTGGGAGCAGTAAGTTGCCAGTGTCCTTTCTGATGCAGTAAAGTTGCTCATCAGAAGTGATCTTGATTCTTGTCCCAGGGGGGACAGCGCGAGATTTCATTACACCACTCAGAAGGGCTTGCAATTTAAAACTTATGAATTATAAATTATTTCTAGAATTTTCCATTTAATATTTTCAGACTGTGTTTGCTCACAGGTAACTGAAACCACAGGAATCAAAGCTAGCACAAGGAGGGGGACACCTATATGTCGGAATTCTTTACCTCACGAGTTCACCCTAGGGCTAGAGACTGAGGTAACCTTAAAGCAGAAAGCATTTAAAGAATGCTGAGCGCTAACTGCTTTGAAAATAGCAGCATATGGGTAAGAACCAAGAGGAGACTGGCATCGGTTCAGTTAGAATAAACAGTGCAGTAGTGGAGTTGGAAATTGGGCTTTTTCTAAAACCGGACGGGGTGTGTGAACAGTGTCAGAGAAGGCTCGAAAGCAGGAATCGGCAGGGCTGGCGGGGTGGGGGACGAGAGGGGGACGAGAGACCAGGCCAACTGCAGCCGAGGCGCACCTGGGAGACCTGAGGTGCGTGGAGCAGACAGGTCTGGAAGGTGAAGGCTGAGAGACCAGGACTCGCAGTCCCTAGAAACGGGGTGTAAATGTGACTTGCTTCATTGAGAGAGTTACGTGATGGAGCAGGGGCTTACGAAAGACATATCTGGCAGTTTTATAATCTTGAAAGCAAGATTAGTAATATGAATTACTACTAATAAAGTTTTGTAGCCATTGTGGGCTGTGACCACTGTACTTCCTCTCCTTTCCCTACACCTGCTGTATCTGTGCTCCTTTGTCTACATTTATAAACAGGAAACCCGTCTGGACATTGCCGCAGATGTTAAATAACAAAATGTTATCTCCTGTCTGTGACGGTTTAGTGCCCAATGATGTGAATTTGTCTCTTTTCCTTCACCGCATCTCTAATTCTCGGATCATCCATTCCCACAGACACCCTCCCCTGCTCCGGTCACCCAGATGGTCACTGATTTCATCGGTGCAAAGAGAACCAATCTTCTGCTTTCCCTCACCATCTCCACAGACCATTCGGAAATTTTCAAAGCAGACAATTAAGCATAAAAAAGATAAAAGAGCCCTTCCTTACTTTAAAAACTGTGACTGTAATGGCACATAGGTGATAGATATCGAACATTTGTTTGCCGGGCGCTAGTGCAGTAGGAAGAGCATGAGTTCTGATGCCAGATGCTAACTGACCTAGGAAAAATTGCCAAGGATACCATCGATGGACCAGAAAAAATAAGTACATCTGGGTTCTTGAAGTACTGGGTAAAGGGTCTAAATTCCAAGCTACCCGCTGCCAGAAGGAGAGTCACTGTTTG